AGAAATCGTGTTTTAAGTTCCCACTGCTATTTGCTCTGTTTACCTTTTGCTGTTTTTGTCGACATCCTCAGCCTTTAAATTTTATGCAAATGATATATTGATCTTGCAACAGCAGATTTCAAACAACCGCACACAAACACTTTCACGATTTTAGGGCAGTGCAGATAACCCAAGAGGATACATTAATTTGCATGTGTGTATGTGTGTACATATGTATATATATACATATATGTTCATGTGTTTTGTATACCATATGACCGCTGACTTTGGAAGCTGCCAGCGGCCTAGTTTGCCTTTTGTGCAACAATGTGTAAATTTTTAAGTCACTGGTAAATGGTCCCAGGTTAGGTTGGACCGTCGTCAAACGCATAATATCAACAGCAACAGCACTGATGCCTTGCCACAACACGTACAGAAGTTCATTTGTATGTGTATTTAAGTATACATAGAGATATGTATGTACGAATGTATAAATACGCATGAATCCTTGCATGCATTTAGGTTTGGTGTTGACACTGGTACTGCAGTGCGTATACGCAATCTCGTGCAATAATCACCTTACACATATTTTAGCACACAACCACAAACACACTCACGTCCAACCGCATCCAGTTACGAACTTATGGCCTGTTCGGTTCACGTATCTCTGTGTCGTTATGTGTTTGTGCTGGCCTTTTGCCAAAGGTATTCCTTGTTTCACCACTGCAATTGCATCATCTTGCATCACATCACAACGTGTCACTTAACATGCAACATACGTTGTCAACAACTCGACACGCACTCAAGCACACTTTTGTATATGTAAACGCATAGCGGCGCACACACCAGCGCATATACTACATACGCTCGCAATTTGTTGCTTTGCATGCCAGAGTAGCCCTTTGGTAAACAGACAAACACGTGATACGTGTAGGAACGCAAATACTTCGTCGCTGAGGCGAGCCAAGGTTGTGATGCCGCTGAAGCCATTGCCAGTTAGCGCGGCCCCATTAGCAGTCGCCTTGTCTGCGATGCTGATATCCTTCCTTGCGCTGGCGTAACCGCTGCTATTTCAGTATTCGTTTCTGTTTCAATACAAATGAAATTCAACCCGACTCTTTGGTTTGTTTGCCTTTCGAGCGAGACTTGATGCGTGCGTCGAGTTGTTATGCAACGCTGCTTTTTACATGCATCTCTGATTTTTCGTGCAAAGCGTTTTTTCTTTTAATTTGCCAATAGTTCACTAACAGCATTTTTTTTTTGCTCTTCCGCTGCGCCAATTTATTGTCATTCGTCCCGTAGCCTCGCTTCGTCGTTTGAGGCGCCCACGTAAACAAATCTCATTCGCAGGCATTGGCTTTTATTTGTATTCAGCTGGACTTTTTCGACTGTAACTTTTTGCTGACTTTACTTGATTACTATTGTCGTATGATATGTGATAGCCCTTATAGGAATACAAACATGCTCCTATGCCCTTTAGTAGGACACATTTATTTACGTGTGTATTACAGCTTAGCTGAAAATTTTTAAAGTTGCAGAAAAATATATTTTTTTATGTGCTACATAGTATAATACATATCGATTTTTTTTTCAACATTTTATTTTTGATGTAGAAATGCATCTAGCTGATCTAGGACTATTTCTGCATCAAAAAAAATTTAAAAAGTTTCGCCTACAACTTTTTGGCGGTTAGGCAACCATATTTTCTTTACTGAATTAAAGAAACGTGTTTGGCTCCGGTTTAAGGAAAAAATTTTAATTAATTAATTCAAGGAATAAGGTAAAGTTGAATATGTATATTAAGAAAAGGATAAAGGCAAAGCTTAAAATAAGAGTATAGAAGAGTAGACAAAGAGGAAGGTAAATTTAAATCCATACTTACTATAATGACAAATGTGGGGGTGAATATGCAGATGAACAAATGTAGAAGATAAAGATCAGGATAAAGGTAAAGGAAATGACAAAGAAAAACTTTAAAAGATATATATATAACGATAATGATAAAAAAACGATAGAGACAAAGATAGAGATAGAGAAAATCATAGAGATAAAGATAGATACCAAGAAAAATATAAAACTGACGTATGAGATATGTTATCTTATTGTTTGTGACGTTATGTTGTGTCATATAATATAATGTTATGTTATGCTATGTTATGTTATATTCTTTTGTACTATGTAATGTTATGTTTTGCTATGTGATGGTTTAGTAAGTTATGTTACGTTATGTTGTGTTATGCTATGTTATAGTATGTTATGCCATGTGTTGTATTGTTATGTTATGTTACGTTATGTAATGATATGATATATTATGTTATGTAATGATATGTTATGTTGTGTAATGCTATGTTATGCTCTATAATGCTATGTTATGTAATGTGTTGTTATGTTATAATTTGATCTGTTCTCAGTACACCTCAGCTCACCTTAACTCACCTAATCCTATCTCACTTCATTTCATCCCAACTCAATTCACCTCATCCAACTTTAATTCTCTACAAGTCAACTCACTCCAACTAATGCCATTTCATCTCTACTACCCTTATCTCATCTCAACTCATCTGAACTCACGTTAACCTCAACTGAGCTCCCTTCACTTCAATCCACTTCACCTCAACTCAACACAACTCAACTCAGTTCAGTTCACCTTAACTCTACTTAATTTTGAATTTCAACCGCTGGGCGAACACCCGCAATCGTAAATTTGTAAACCATCGCAGCGAAATTTCTGAGAGCTTGAAGAAAAAATAAAGTATACAGAGAAAGAAATACATCTTTAGTGGGGAATTTCTACCTAAACTTAAAAATGTATTAAACACAGTTGCTTTTGGTTATTTGTTTATAGCATTTACCAGCCAAAATGCCAAAATATAATTTATGTTTTTAAATAGGTGACAACTCTATTCAAAATCGCAATAAATATTCGAATTAACGGTGCCATTCTGACGATCTTCAAAATATTATTTGAAGTACCCAATTCACTTAAGTCAAATTGAATTTGATCTTTTAAAGAGGTGGCAACCCACTTTATGTAGTTAAAAGATTTAGCCTCAAAAAATCATTTCGGTTGACACCCGTATTAGGCGTGTTTTATTTAAACGTCACAAGCTAATAGCTATATCTTGGTCAAATAAAACGAAATTAGCTTATTTCCTATGTTGGCCTGATTTTGACAGTTCCTTGACTGCAAATAAAAAAATGCTTTAATAATCGAAATCTTGTCTTTTTGTTTCCATTTTTTTGTGCGAATGTCTGCTTCATGGTATTAGCGCACACGGTTTACATAGAAATTTAAAAATGCTTACATCGTATAACTAATTATCACATTGACCTCTTTTATGGCGAGCAAGCATGCAATGCAATTTTGAAAATTGCAAATGCAAGCTTTTGCCTCTTTCTGATTGGCTGAAGCAGAAAAATTTCTGATGCTGAATGGCAATGCCTTTAGTTCGATATATTTACATGCCAAGATATCTTTTCATAAGCCAATATACATTTGTTGGCTAAGTTTTCCATACAAAATAAGGTAATAATTTAAATTTCTGGTCAAATAAAGCACGCCTATTGTAATAAATGTTTTCACTTTTTAAATAATTGAGTTTATTTTTTAACAGCTGGCAACTCTTTGAAAAAACGTAAAACAATATTGCACATCTGCAGTCCGAGCCCTTCAATTTGATATTCCACTTTTTAAAATCTTGAAGGGTGCGCATCTGATGACCTGAACCAAAAATCCCGTCGCGTATTATGCGTATACTAAAAGTGCCATTTACACTCGAAATTCGATAGTTTTTCTAGTTTTTAAAAGCCTCGGAGATTTCCTTAAACTGAGCACGGCGTTTAACTTATAAAGTACAAAATTACTTACCAGAGAATCGACTGCTTTAGAACTAAAACGTGTCTGCCAGTCTTTATATCTTTGGAACACTTTGGCAGAACTTGGAATTGATTAGATACGTTCCGCTTTATTGACAAATTTCGATAACCTTATTTCGATAAAACCTTGATTTCGATAAAGCTCGATAACTCGACAAATTTCGATAGCTATCGAAAACTATGAGTTTCGCGGACTCGATGAATCTCATTAACTCGAAAATTAACATAACTCTATAGGGATCTATATATCGATAGCTCTATAAACTTTGGATAACTCTATAAATACCGGTAACTTGATTGATTCTTATAGTTCCATAAATTTCGATGTCCAACGACAAACTTCGATAACACATTACACTCTGGTGACTCAATAGAATTCGATAAACCGATAAATAGTGAAAACTTGACATACTTATGTAACCCTAGAAATTACTATAACTCGACATACTTTGAAAATTTCAAAAACTTCGGTTCCAAATTTGTTAAATCAATAACTATCGATAACTCGATAATTTGACAGAACTTGATACATTACGATAATTCGGCCGATTTCGTTAACTCCATAAATAATGATAATTCAGTAAAAATCGATAACTTGATAAATTTCATTAACTTGACCATTTTCGATAATACAAAAGAATGTATATGTTTATGTATTAAACCCCTATCAAGTGCTTTATCTAAAAAAAATTCATTTTTTCTTCCTTAAAAAGAGCTATTCCAGACCTTAATTGTAAAAACAATCTCTGGGCTATAAAATTGTTTCTTCATATTTTCCTTTACTTATATTGAGTAAACGACATGAATAAGCTATAGATGCTTATTAATTCATGATCATATGCAATTCATTACTTCCCCTGTAAAAGACGCGTGAATATAGTATTTCATAGTTTCAAATTTTACACGCATTAAAGAAAGCCTTAAAAGCGATTTCAACCTAAAAGCATATCTGTGTATTTGATAAGTTTATGCTTACAATTGTATATGTGCGAGCAGTTATGTGTGTACACCGCGACTTAAGCAGACAATGCATGCGCCCAGTGCTTTGGAATATGCTGAGTGCCGTTTTCATCATTCTCGCCGCCGACACTGGAGTTTCCTTCTTACGAATGCAAATGCCACTGTGTTACCTACTAAGGCGATTATTCAAATGAAAATCTCTAGTTTTCACCTAAGGTGCCGCCATCAGTGCCAATGCAGAGCTTTCTCACGTACCGGCAGCTAACTAGTGTTCATACACATACATACATATGTAGATATTTAATATGTGATGCATACATTTTTTAAGGGAAAAAAACTGCAGTTACCTACAATGAAAAACACGATTTTTATTATAGTCGTTTAAGTGGCAGCGTTGTCAGCCGCAGAAAGTAAGCAGAGTTAATGGCTTCTTATATGCACCGGTTGGCTGACTGAGCTGAGGTTAAAAGTGTTACAGCTGAAGCTTAAAGGTGGCAAGTTGATAGCCACAATTGAGACGGCGACAGGTGCATGCACTACTTCAGCAAAAACGCGGAAGAAGATTTACACCTATTTACGCCATATGGCAATCCTATATACTTAAATATGTAACTCCAGGCCAGAGAGATTGCGTCAGTGCGGCTCAGGTAACTCATACGCCCTGTAAGCAGTATACTCGTCTAACCTGTACTTGTACATAGGACTGCCAACGCTAATAGCTATAAGGTGCCATATTGGGGATCGAAAAGTGCCTAAAAGTCCCAAATAGAAAAAGAAAAAGAAAAGTGTCAAATGGATTAATCGAAAAAATAGTAATAATTTTTTATGCAATACCAAAATAAAATAATATTTTGTGCCACTGAACCCACGCTAGACTAAGTTTTGTGACTTTTTTCGCTATCAGTTAATCCGAATAGATACGAAGGAAGTATACTTATTATTTGAACAATACGTTGGCAGCACTTCGTACTCGGTTTTTTGTTTGTCGATTTCAAGAAAAGCTTTCAAACTAGGAGAAGAAAATACAAAATTTCTTCACTACCCCGCCTAAAGTGCAATATTTTTAAGCATATAATGAGAAAAAAACATTATTTACCCTTTCGGTAGCAATTTTTTTTTTTTCAGTGAAATAAATACTTTAGTCTAGTTTTTAATCTTGTTATTTTCATTCTAGAAGTACCTGGACAAAATTTTAAAACGCCACGCCCATTACTTTGGGCGCTATGCAATCTCAAATTTTACATGGAATTAAAAAAATATCGAAACGGAAACTTTTTTTGCATTAAATCAAAGATAATGATTTGCTTAATGATATGTTCTTCACATTTTTATCATTTTTTGTCGTAACTATTAAGAAACCAATATTTTTTAGAACATCTTCCAAAGCCAGTAGCACAACTTTTCGCCAATATTGATGCAGTTTCTTGCAAATATCGCTACTAAATGCTTTACAAATGAGTTACTTTTTAAACATTTTTTATCCAGACACATGTGACTAAAGTTATCATTACGTTTGATAAAATAAAAATATACAGAACACTGATTGCAGGCCCGGAAACATGAGCTTACCCACAGGTAACATTGGGGTCGAAAGGGTTAAAACTAGTTTAATTTTTATGGACAAGGCTGTGGTGAATAAAGCTGTGGTGAGCTGAGCTTAGTCGCGTGGAACAACATAACATAACATAACATAGCACAACATAGCATAACATAACATAACATAGCATAGCATTAAATAACATTGCATACCATTATGTATTTAATATAAATTAACATAACACGGCGTAATATAACATAACATAGCATTACATAATATAAAATAGCGTAACGTAACATAACATACCGTAACCTAACATAACATATCTCATTCTTCGATTTTTTTTTCTTTTTCTTCGTCTCTCTCTTTATCTCTACGTCTTTTCAATGTCGTTTTTATTTTTGTCTTTATTTATGTTTATCTTTACATGTATCTTTATGTTTTAATTTTTATCTTTATCATTTCCTTTACCTTTATCCTGATCTTTATCTTCATTATTCTCTTCATATGCATATTTACCTTCCTGTTTGTAAATACTATCCTTAGGTTTCTTTAATTCTATTCTAATCTTGTGGCCTTATTCATAAAAAATAAAGTAGGATTAAAATGCTTTATAAATTGGCGTTTCCATACATTTTTTCAAATTATAAACCTTTTGTAAAACTACTTTATTTTTAATGAATAAGGCTATTAATCTTTGTACTTTCCTCATCTACATCAGCTTCGTTTTAGTATTTTATTATTTTTGAATAAATGTGGTTAAAAATGGTATGATTTATTGATTATGGTGTGAATTCATGTCGTCTTTCACAAATCGTAAAAATAACACTGGATCACAAATTTTAATTTTGATTTTGTTCTCCAGACGCCACTATCCAATTTGTATGTAGAACCGCTCGCTGATTCTGAAAATCGAGTTAATTTATTTTTGTATGCATACGTTTTGGAGATATTTTCAATTTATCGTTATTCAGCTTAAAAGAAATAATGGTTCCACTTAATCAAAAACACGAGGCTTCAGAAATGATGAAGTGATGTATATACGTTTTATGGAGAATTTTATTTGCTTACATTTCCCGTATCTCATATTACGATTATTCAATTGGTTCGTAAAATATACGTGATTAAGTGAAACCACTATTTCTTAAAGCTGAATAACGGTAAATTGAAAATATCTCGAAAAGTTATCCATAGAAAAAAAATATCTCGATTTTCGGAGTCACCGAGGATTTCTACATGAATAAACATTTTTGCAGTATACCACTGTAATTATTAAATCTGTTGAAGCTATCCAAAGCAAAGATTTCCGCAGGAGAAACCATATATTTTTTTAATGATTCGTCCAGCACAAGTGGACTTTTTGGAAATCAATAAAGCAGAGATAATTGGCAGAGCACTGTAAAAGCGTTTAATTTACTACACTTTCGAAAGAATATTTGGCGATCGTTGTATCAATTGTATCAACAAATCTAACTGAAAGCTGAGCTACATCGATGTGTGTATACGATATACATATCTTTTGGAATAATGTTAATAAAAAGTTGCCATGAATATATTCAAATACTATCAGAATACAATCCGCAAGTTTTCTCGATCGTCGAAGTAATGAAGCCTAGCTTCTTCCAGAAGAAGATGCGATTATTTTTGTAACAGGTCCTTGAGACGAAAAGACGGTTAACGGGGGCATTATTTACTTTCTTACAATTGTTCAGTCAAACATGTGTACTCTTCCGAACGGAAAATTTCGAAAGAGTTGTAAAAGTCTTTTATTCACAAATCGTCCGTATATCCTTTGAAAGTCTTGTCACAAGCTAAACAAGTGCTTACAAACCAAAATTTATTCCTTGTTGAAAGTTGCGCTCTGCTCTTATTGAAGTTGTCGAAATATTTCTTAAAAGATAGTCTCCGTCGATTGAAAATGTTTGCCGGGTTGTTGTATAGATTAGAGAAAAATAGATGTACTTTCTTGAAGATTATACATTTTTCTATACATTCACAGGTACATATACGTCTGTACGTATGTTCCATATACACTTTTGCATTTGATTAAATGACAGGACTTCGTACTCTCACATGTGTATGATTTCATCCTCCTTGACATCCCGCATATTCATTTCGCTTTCTTTGCTTTCGTTTCTTGTTCTCATAAATGAACAGCGCTCGGAATGTCAAACATTTTCCCTCACAAGTCTGCTCCTATACACATTCATTCCTTCGTAAACTTTCTGCGAGCTCGTCAAAAATTAAAAATGCACCCTAAATTTGAATTCCAAGCAACTGAAGTTGCTGTAGAACAGGTACGAAGAAGAGGTGATGACGATGGTAAGCAATGAATGGTTGCTATAGCTGACGAAACGAATTTTCACTTTCAACATTAAATTTCAAGATTTTATTTAACACTCATCTTTATTTTTTTGCCAACAAAAGCGCATTGTACACCGCAAATTTGCACACTCTTTGTGAGACTTAAGCATGAAAAGGTGCCTTGTGGAAGCATTAAAAAATATACCCCCGCACATACATACAGCTTTCCGGGCATGAGAAGCATCCATGAGCAACTTACAGATTCCATCAAAAAGATGTAAATTCATTTGCCAGCAACAGCTAAGCCTCTTACAAGTAGTATGTACAAAAAAGTGCATTAATATAAAGCAGAATGAATGCAGTTTTCTAGTGGAGCTGCTCACAAATTCCTCAAGTGCATTTTTGTGTGTCATGCAGTACTCGTGGAAAACGCTTTCAAAAGACAAACTATTCAGGTGTAAACTATATGCAACGAAAAAAAAAAATAAAGAATTAAAATCAGAATATTCAAGTGTGTGTATAAATTCATTTGCATTGATAAGCTTTACAAGTACAAAAAAATAAAGTAAAATGACAACCAGTGTAGTTGTGAAACAAAAGCTCTTATTAGAAGCAGTAATAGAAAAACTCAATACAAAAGCAATGCTTTCTGAAAGCTACGCTTGTAGGAACTAATAATGGAATCATGCATAACTTTATATGGGTATATTATTTTATTAATTGCATCGTGTAACAAAACTATGCACCTGATTTAATTTTTTATATGAGGACAGTCTAATCAAAAGAAGATATTTTTTTCAGTTTTTCTTTTTGATTTGCGGACATGTGAGCGAGAGAAGCCTACTACACTAACACATCTTTTTTAATTGATGAGAGAGAGAAGGATCTATAAATAATAAACACGGTATTTTACTGAAGAGTTCATTGCGCCGACGTAATGGTACCTATTATAGTTAGAGCTCGAAGATAACTATTAATCAATTCAAATGCTCGCATAATAACACTTATACGTAATAATTATTGAAGCAGAAATATTGCCGCAGTCGGAGCTTAACAGAAACATTTTTAACAATGCAGATTTCATTTCCGGGTACCCGTACTAAAATAAACCCTTACTGGGGTACTCGGATAAAGATAACCATCTATCCGGGTATGCAGATAATGATAACCCGCTATCAGGTAACCGTATAACGACAACTGCCTACTCGGGTACTGCGATATATATAACTTTTCACGGGTATTCAGATAAATATTGCCCTATATCCGGGTACCCATATAAAGACAACTTACTACCTCGGTACCCGGACAAATATAACCCGCTATTCAAGTACCCCGATAAAGATAGCCGCCTGTCCGGGTACTCGGATAAAGATAACCCCGCATCCAGATACCCAGATTAAGATAACTTCATATCCGGGTACCCATATAAAGATAACTTACTACCTGGCTACCCGGACAAATATAACCCGCTATTCAAGTACGCGGATAAGGATAACCGCCTCTCCGGGTACTCGCATAAATATAATCTCATATCCGTAAACGCGCATAAAGAGAACCCACTACCCAGGTTCCCGGACAAATATAAAAATATAAATTTCAAAGAAGTATTTAATTTAAAAAATTACACTGGTCTACAAGGGTTTTGCGAATAAGACGGGACCTGGTGTTTCCGAACGGATTTTTCGTGCTGAACACGAATCTGGGGTCCAAAACTTCCCATCACGTCACGTTTTCGAGAAAAAAGGGGTTGAAACCCCTAAAAACAGCGTTTTTGGCCATTTTTGAAAAATTGTAGAGCTGAACCCTGACGTGCTACAAACTTTGTATATGTCAGAAATTAAAGGCTAAATCGTGCCCTTTCGAATGAGCCCTATGCCGAATTAATCGCATGCACCCTTAGATCAGGGGGTGTATTTGTGTCTAGGAGTCCAATTTTTATATCCACCATATTCGACCCGTCATCTTAAATTTTTAAAATCTAACTGCAGATTCGTAATCAGCGACTTTTAATATAGTTAAAACCTTGGCATTATTAATTTTCTATGATCGTTTAAGATTAAATTCTTTCTGTGATCAATTTTTCCTGCACCCCTAAACACAAATACACCCCCTGCTTTAAGGGTGCACGCGATCAATTCGGCATAGGGCTCATTCGAAAGGGCACGGTTTAGCCTTTAATTTCTGATATATGCAAAATTTGTACCACGTCAGGGTTCAGCTCTATAATTTTTCGAAAATGGCCAAAAACGCTGTTTTTAGGGGTTTCAACCCCTTTTTTCTCGAAAACGTGACGTGATGGGACATTTTTGACCCCGGATTCGTGTTCAGCACGAAAAATCCGTTCAGAAACACCAGGTCCCGTCTTATTCGCAGAAAAAAAGTTGAAATTTGTAGACCAGTGTTATTTAAAATATTAAATTCAATATCGAATAATAATATGGATGCCAAATTAAAAACAAAACTCTGTGGAATTATTATTTTTTTCTGTTCAAAAGGACGAACTCTGTAGAATTATTATTATTTATTTTTATGCAAAAGAACGAATGGTTTGAAAATGTTCCCTTAATTAATTTTTGTATCCTTAACACATCGGGCATTTTTCCTATCGGCCAGCATTTCAACCTCTTCAGTTTCCTGTAGCGGTCCCACATAGCTCGCGTTACGCTCGAGCGCAGCGTAGCATCTTTATTATCCGTAGCTTCTTGACACTCCTCATCGTACCAGTTGTTCTTTCAGACTTGCTTAAAGAAGCAGACTGTTCTTCGGCTGGAGGGGCGAATGCATTGACCGTCTGTTGTGATTGCAGCTTTTCGACGTTGAGCTTTCCCTTCATTGTTGGGCACAGCTTTATGCGGCGCAGAAACGGGAGGTATCTTGGTCGTAACAATAAAGTGTTCCGGGTCGATGTTTGGCCCTCGCAGTGTACGTACGTCTAAAACACTGGAAACGCGCCTTCCGTCTATCACTACAAGATCGATTTGGTTTCTCGTTTTTCGATTTGGAAACAACCAAGTAGCTTGGTAGATCTTTTCATACATGAAACTAGTACTGCATACGGCCATATTTCGGGCCCCGGCGAAGTCGATCAGCCTCAGTCCGTTGTCAGACGTTTCGTCGTGGTGGTTGTGTTTTCCGCCGGTGGCGCCAAAGATCCTTTCCTTACCCACCTTGACATTGAACTCGCCTGGAACAATTGTTACATCATGACAGGGGCAGCACTCGTATGTACACTCCAAGTGCTCTCAGAAGAGATCCTTGGATGGCTCGTCCTTCTTTGGGCGCAGATGAGTGAGAGAATCTCGCTTTGATGCGGATTGTGGTAAGACGCTTGTCCACCGGAGTAAATGACTGTACTCGGCGACGGAGTCTCTCTCTCATGGCAACTGTAGTAGATGTCGCAAGGCCCCATACATTTTTTCCTTGCCCCTCCAACGCATTTATTAGATGGCGTAGGGCCATCACGAGGACATCTACCAGCCAGGCAGAACCACCTTCCCCATTAAGTGTCCAGACATTCCACGTGCATTCCCTCAAATCATAGTCGTTCGAACGTTTTCCGTGGTCGTTATAAAAGAAGCAGGCCTCATCCGAGGCTTTGTCTCTCTTCTTCACTGGTAATGGGATGGATCGAAGCTTTAAGGAAGTGTCGATGGGAGCACCGTTTGCTAAGTACAAATGGTCATTGTATTAGCTCAAGGAAAGGTGAACAAGAACTAGGATATGTGCAACCTCAAAGTCTTTCGTACATTATCTTACCATCTTCTTTGATAAACTAAAGAATTGAGTGCTCCTACCAAAGGCCGTTATACTTAGCTACTTCTCAGCAATAGCCTTTTTTACTGCTTCAAATATTCTGTGAGTCAAATTGAGGTAGTGCAAAAACACCAAAAAATAACACAAAACTGGCACCGTTGTGGAAATATTGCAAACTTTAGTTTACCTTTGTGATTTTACTTCCATGCGGATGATTACACTGCATATTAGTATGAGTAGTAGGACTCGATTTGTATACATACATATTTGTTGTACATCTTTTCATGCTTCCTTGAGCATTCGTTCGAATGCGTGACAACAAGTATGCGCTTTAAAGCGTTTGCCGTGTGAAATTTACAAGACATTTTGCCAGTCGCTTGGTCTCTTATCAACTTCGCGTGCATGCAATTGTATTGTAACTGTTATGCGATGCAACAGAACAAAAGGAAAGCGTTGCACAGAACTGCGTACATGCTTACTTACTTTTATGAGGTGTTATCTACACAATGTATAACAAGGTATTCTTCAGCAACCCACAAGGGAAAACAACAGTGGCTACATATTATAGTTTCGTTATACATATGTACATATGTATGTGTTATTCATAGGTACATACATATGTGTCTGTGCTTTTTATTAGATTTCATTTCTTTCGCCTGCCTGCCAGCTGTCGAATGCCGTCTTTGTTCTTGGCTAAAAATTCATAGAAGTTTCCTTTTCTATGTTATCAAGCAAAAATAGATATGTATATGTATATTTTTACATACATATATGTGTGCATACATGTATGTATGTAAGTATGTCACATCTCCATACAGATTTCCGCTACCTTATTCTTCAATTGTTTTCACATTTATATGTACGTATGCATTTTCGTTACAGGAATTATCAAGGGAGACGAAATAATGGTGATCAATGCTGCTATTGTATCCGACTTGGATATGATGTATTTGGAAAGCGTACTGCAAGAGGAGCAATCACTATGCATGATGATGCGGTAAGTCGCAGTGACACATGCTCAAATACATAAGGGGTATTCACGAGCCGGTGCATACTGTCTAGCATGGTGCATAGATAGTATAAATAGCATGATTGGCTAATTTTGTTGGTGTTTGAACACATGAAACAACAACAATCATGCTATCTGTGCACCATGCCAGACAGTATGCATCGGATCGTGAATGCCCCTATACATACATAAATATTAATGTGCATTTGTGAGCAACTGAGATACAAAATTTCGTTTAAGGTACAAAACTAATCCGGGTTCCAGTCCTCGGGTAGCGGAGGTTTTTTTCTGTTTCAATTTATTTTTTTGCATTGAAAGGAGAAATATATATTTTTTAATTCCATTTAATTTTTACAAACTCTTAGTTTTTCCTGTTGTTTAGCTAATTTCGTTTCTTTCTTAATTTAACTTACTCTTAATTTTTAGATGCTCTTCCCTTAAAAAGAAGAATATTTTCTCGATTTCATTTAATTTTTAGATGTAATTGCTTAAAAAAGAAAACTATATATTATTTTTAATTTTATAAAATTTTGACAAATTTATTTTATTTCCTTTTTCTGGGCATATGCTAGCTTTCGAACAGAGCAAATGCTCAAATAAGTTTTCTATCATATGAAACTGAGCAAATACTCAAAAACTAAGCAATTGTTTCAAATTGGAGCAAAGCCATTTTTTATTAATACGACCCAATATATTTTTATAGGAGGGTTATTCGTTAATACTACTTCAAAACAAAGGCGTGTATTGTTAAACAGACGGTCAAATTATGATTTCTAAAATATATAAACTTAATACATACATACATATTTACATATATTTGTTGCCATATTTCGACCAACTTCTTCTACTACCAACTTATTCTACTATTTTATTTTACTTGGTCCATGCCGTTACTGATAATGTTATGGTAAATTATCTGAGAGATAACGCATTCAGCAGCGCACGTAAATTACAGCCTTATAAGCATTTGAAATTTATAATTGTGCATGCACATTAGTGTGCGCCTTACTTTTTAGACTAACGAACAATACTGCCCTAGATAGATTTTTTGTTTGTTTGATTTTTTGAAATGTGGATTTAAACAGTGTTTGTTATATCATGAGCTAGTCTTTTATGGAAAAATAGTAAATATTAAATAAACAAAAGAAAAGTAACCGAAATTGGTGAAAAAGTTGATGACTTAATTAGCTGTTCACAAGTGTACATTAGGGTTTTTGTTGTTTTAGAAGATTATTTATTTAAAATCTAGCTTTTTGCTTACTTAATAAATATTCAACAATAAGTGTTTTTGAATCGAGTTGTGTACATGTGTAAGTACATATCGCACATGTATGTATGTAGATCCAAAGTGCGATCAACTCAAAAGAAGTCCTTTTTTTGCATAAATCAATGCATAGGACTTACCCCAATGAATGCAGATATTTTTTGATGTGAAACTTCTTTAGCGGCGGATGGTTGGTTGGGAGTAGTTAAATTGGCGAATTCAATGAAAATTGCACACGCATTTTGCTCATAGAAATGGTTGGGACTGAATCGAGTGCTTCTAAAATGTATGCAAATGGTATTCATTTAACAAAAACATGCTAATAAAATGTTAAAGAATAAGACTTAGACAAAGACCAACACAAGAATGAAAGTACAGCTAAGTACATAAATAGATAAAGAAAAGGATGAAGGCAAAAGTAGAAATAAAAGCCAAAACAAAGATGCGTAAAATGAATGCAAAAATGAAGATCAAGCTAAGTTTATACACTTTACTTACATATATAAGGGCGAAAAACAAAGCTAAATATAAAGAAAAAGGTGGGGATGAGGATACCGATAAAAGTAAAGATGAAGATAGAGGAAGAAAGATTAAAATAAAGTTAATTATAAAGAAAACCCAGAGACACAGAGACTCAGTCTGGGAACTATTTCGTAACTTTAGAGATTTTGGGGATTCTCGATACTTACCGATATAATAATCGATATTTTTATCTATCTTATTGTCGATATTTCTATCGATTTTGTTATCGAAATTCTCATCAATATTTTTATCGATTTTTCTATCGATGTTTTCGGAACTTATCGATATTGTTAGCAATTTTTCTATCGATACTTTTTATAGAAATTTTTATCGATAATTTTATTGATTTTGTTATCGATACACACTATGTGACATCATATAACAGAATATGACATCACTTCACATGTCTTCACATGAAATCACATCACGTTGCATTGCATTACCTGACATCACCTCACATATGTACAGTTACGATCACTAAATATAGTAGTGCGCACTTGCGAGATGCATTATGCCTTTGATGTCGCATACTACGCGATATTGGAATCAGATTTTATTTTAATTATCATCTCTAGTGGATGATTTAACTCTATGCAAATTTCAAACCGTTGAACAGCTACGGTTTAAATTTTTTAGAAGTATCCCCTGTTGCGAAGGGGATTTAAGGTGAGCAGTGAAATAGTAGCGCAGAACAAATAAAGTCGCAAAACTAAACTTCAATTAAAACTGTTTTAGTTTTTGGAATAAAAAGTAAGTTTAATGACTTGGTTTGTTATATATTATCAAAACCCTTATTAAAAATGGGAAAACATATCAAGAAGTGAAAAAATTGGTGGATGTATGTAGCGTCTTATCACGTCATCATACCTCAACAACATCCAAGTGAATATATAGATAAATAAAAGGATACAAACAAAGATATAAGAGGTAAAAGAAAAGATGAAGACCAAGATGAAATAATATTTATAAAAATTTTCTCTTATAAGAGCAATAGAGTATAAAGATAAAAGTAAAGGGAAAGGAAGACAGAATAACATAAATGTAATTAGATTGAAAAGGGTAGATAAAAGATAAAATACAACCTTAAGCAAATGTATAGGTACATATAAATATTGGTTATGAGACAAACTGGATATGTGGATAATGTAAGTTTCACTTCTCCAGTGTAGCTCATGCGTACTTACTTTTTTGCTATGCACCAGAAGCAGTTACATTTCCCGATTTAATTTTTGACTTAGCTCGCTTTAGATGCGATATGTATATGGACCTACACACGTCATGTAATTACGTTAGTATACAATGCAATTAACAGTAGCAATATGTAGTAAATTTTAATTTTCTGACAACCTTAAATATCTATGTGTGCATATTTCTAAGTGCATTCATATATGTATGCATCAGAAGACGCTCATGTACAAAGAAATGCATAATATACACATTTATCTGAATGCGTTATCAACTCGGCCAAACAATGTTAAATCGAACAAAATGTTACAGCTGTGCAACTGTCATTTCCTGGTATATTAAGGCTGTCTAAGTCACATGTACAAATGTACAAATGTATGTATGTATGTGCATATAAAAATATCACTGTATAAATCTGCAATGAAAATCAAATCTATAAAAGTTGTGTAAAACCAGTCAATACATCAATGTCAAAGAATAAAGGGAACTTCCTCTAACAAAATGAAAAAAAAAAAAACAACATCTAACAGTTGTTGCTTCCTTAACACAAACCGATGCAACTGACATAAACAACAACACCAATCAACGGAATAATGGGCAAATATAAAGCGAGACAAATGTTGCAATTCAATTGCAACTGCAATTTTTTCACTGCCAGCACAGAAGCGTTTACTATGTTGCAGAAAGTCTAATATGTGCTAGAATTTTACGTCGAAGTTACATAGCTACATATCTATTTAGTGCTTGTTTACAAATAGAACCTGTTACCAAACCAACAAGCAGCACACTTTATCATTGAGAAAATTTCCGTTTACTTTTGTGTCTGTCTTGTATTGGGTTCGAAACGTCTTCATCATTCTGTAATTTACTTTGAAATCGTGCGCTAAGAAATTGCCATCGAAACACTAGCAACAATCTGCAGTAGTGTACTCAATGTTTTTCAATGCAGCGTTAATATCACTCATACAAACCTACATATAGATAACAGAAAACTTATAACATATTCATGTAAGTAACTCCTGCAGAAGTCGAGTAACGAAAGGTGCGAATCAGGTTCGAAGAAAATGTATATCTAGTAGTAATCGGCCATTCGCAGGCTAAAAAGACGTCAGAAAATTTGTCTTGAAAAAATTAATACATAAGTTCTATAATTTGAGTAACAACATTTATTAGAGAAAAACGCCTATCGAGTTGTATTTTTGATGTTTTTAACGCTTGCTTTGGTTAATTTTTGGTCGCAGAAATTGGTCATTTTGGCATTTCAAATGCTATATTTATTTTATATGTCACAAAGTGCTGAAATGAACACTTTCTGCGACCAAAAACTAACCAATGCAAACAGACTTTGTAGACATATTAACAGTTAAGAAACCATAAATGTTTAATTCTGTTTAGAAATGTATCCAAAGCCAATGGCTATAAATACCGGATTTTTGCACTTATCTAGTATATGGTTAGTGGTGCTATAAAAATTGATCGGCAAAAGTTGTAGGTTATACGTATATATACACATAGGGATGGTCCTTAAAATCAATAGAGGAATCCGAACTTTGCCCCCTAAGCGATACGCCTTAACCGTCTCCAATGGGGACCAAAATTTATATGTGATATCTTCGACTATGGTAGTATCGATTTTGGGTATGAGATGAAAAAAAATTAATTTTAATTTTTTTGAAGTGAAACTTCTTTTGCGGCGGTTGGTTGGTTGGGAGTAATTTGGCAAATTCAACGGAAATTGCACATGGAAATTATGCAACGGAAATGGTTGGCGCTGAAACAAGTGCTTCTTGAGTGTATGCACATGGTATGAATTTAACAAAAACTTGCTAATAAAAGGTTAAAGAAGAACACTTAGAAAAAGACCAATACAAGAACGAAAGTAAAGGGGAGTACGTAGATGGGTAAAGAAAAGGAGAAAGGCAAAGGCAAAAATAAAAACAACAACAAAATTTGCGTAAAGATAAAGGCAAAAATGAAGATCAATGTAAATTTAAACACTTTAAAAAGTAAAAGTATAAACACAAAAGTAAAAACAAAGATAAATATAAAGATAAAGATGAGGATGAGGATACCGATAAAAGTAAAGATGGAGATAGAGGAAGAAAGATTAAAATAAAGGTAATTATAGAGAATAGGATATAGATGGAGACACAGAGACTCAACCTGTGTGTGCTATCGATATTTTCGGAACCTATCGATATAATAATCAATATGTTTATCCATTTTGTAATCGAAATTTTTAACGATTTTGTCATCGATATGTTTATTGGTTTTGTTAAAGATATTGTTGTTATTATCGATATTTTTATCGATTTTAATATCGATCCTGTTATCGATTTGGTTATCGATGTTTTAATAGATTTTGCTATCGATATTTTTATCGACTTTCTAATCGATTTTGCTACCAATATCATTATCGATTTTGCTATCGGATTTGTCATCGATTTTGTTATCGATATTTTTATTGGTTTTGTTATCAATATTATGTTGGATGTTGCTATCCATTTTGTTTTCGACAGAGTATAAAGATAAAAATGAAGATAAAGGAAAACAGAATAACATACATAAATGTTGTAAGAATTAACAGGGGTAGAGGTGGGATCTAAATAGAAAAAATACAAAAAGTATAATAATACAAAGCAAAAGCAGATGTATGTATGTATGTATACATATTGGTAATTACACAAAATAGATATGTAACGTAAGTTTCACTTCTCCAGTGTGGCCAAGGCGCACTTACTTTTTTGAGTCTCCATAGAGGAATTTGAACCTTGCTCCTGTGCGAGACGCTTTAACGCCACGGTCCGATCGAGACCAAAATTTATTTGTGATATCTTCGACTATAGTAGCATCGTTGTAGGGGTTGGGGCTTAAGAAATCTGATTTAAAAATGTGATTTATACATTTACAGACTACCCTAATATACATACACTGCCCCAAGAATATATGGACAAACAATTGTTTGCACATTTTGACATACATTACCCTCTATATTTGTGCTTTTTAGCTAAAATAACCTACATATCTATGAATCTTTATGGCCGTAGGATCTAGCTAACATTTTAACATTGAATTACGGCAAAACAAACAAAAAAAAATGTCAATGTTATTGTGGCTTATTAACAATTTATTTTTAATATTTTTATTGAGCTTTGTATCACGATTTTTTATTAGGAAAAACTGAAAAGGCAACAAATTCTAAGCGGTAGAAGTTATAGCAGCTATAGCAGCGGAGATCACCACATCTCCTCATCAGACTTTTCTAGACTTCAGCAAAAAGAAGTCTGATGAGGAGATGTGGTGATCTCCGAAATAGCTGCTATAACTGCCACCGCTTAGACTTTGTTGCTTTTTAAATTTTTCTTAATAAACAATCGTGGTACAAAGCTCAATAAAAATATTTAAACAAAAAAATTTAAAAATCAATGCNGAAAAAAAATTAATTTTAATTTTTTTGAAGTGAAACTTCTTTTGCGGCGGTTGGTTGGTTGGGAGTAATTTGGCAAATTCAACGGAAATTGCACATGGAAATTATGCAACGGAAATGGTTGGCGCTGAAACAAGTGCTTCTTGAGTGTATGCACANTAAACAAAAAAATTTAAAAATCAATGCGAGCTTTTTAGCCGCTAAAACTTGCACTTATTTTACTAGAATTTTATAAGTATGTTAACTGCAAAGCCCAAAACATTTCTAAAAATTCTGATTATAAAGCTCGAAATTTAGATAAAAATTTGTGGAATTTTTCTAAGTTCTATATTAAGTTTGAACGTGTGATTTATAAATTTTTTGTTAAAACATGAACCATATTTAGTTTGAAACACATTGTAAATATTAAAAACGAAACACCATTCATCCATTTTTGACCGCCACTGTATGTCGCCTATTGCAGCACTAGATAAATCTAGCTTGGACTTGGTTACAGTAGATTATATAGCCAGGAGTGCTACCTGACTCCCTAGTAATTAACCGCTCTCTCTTTTCTAGTACCATTATTATTATTTAGCATCCTACAGGCTTTACAGAACTTCAGCCTGAAATATGCTAACATGGTTTGCCAGCAGAAGGGACCGATTGATACCAAGCTCCTCGGAATATTCCCCTGTCCCTACACCGCAGTCCATCCTGGACCCGTCAGTGTAGATACAGACGCGCCTTTATTCGTGTCTAGTGACGAAACCTTACTGTTGCAATGATTTCTGCTTGTGCCCTGTAACACTTTAAAGCAAGTCCATTGGCATGAAACCAATTCTACGATTTCTACTTGAATCGCCGCTATTAGAAGGGGTAGCGACTTTTGGCAATAAATTTTGCCAGTAAATATTTAATAGGACCGTTAATTTGTTATAGACTGAACAAACATATTTCATGAGTGCGCAAACATATACATATACACGCAAAAACCACACATAAATACATACATACATACATTTTTCGTTCTTACGATTGTGCAAATGTATAAACGTATGCAACTACATAATCCCTAAGGAACTTCATAGCTGCAACGCTTGGTTACCAAGCCTCTCAATTATTGCTACAACGACTTTATTGCTCCCTTGTGACTCAACAATGGACGTAAGCATGTAATTTTGTTTTTGCTTGCTAGTGTTAATAGTCGCTATTGATTATTTAATAAAATTCATTCACGCGATTGTGTTTGTCCGTGCACATCATAAAATTCTTATTAATTGTGCATAATATTTCCTAAGTATCCATTGGAGAAACCCAAGATGCTTAAGTGGCGAAACTTAGGCAAAAAGATATGAATTAATTACAAACCAAATGAAATACTTTACCACATTGGATGTAGTTGTTTAAGTGTGTAGCGAATTTCGACATTACAAAGTATATTTGTGAATACATTTTAATATAGTGAACAATTTTCCCTCCCATTCAATAGATATGCAAGCATAAGTACGTAGGGTAGCTTTTATATTCATCAGTCAAGAGGGTGTGGCACCTCCCACACAAACGGTATTTTTTATACTACATATCTCTAGTAGTATTTGTGGTAGAGAACTGGAACGTGCTATGGCGATATAAAAAATCATTCCATACTCATAGAGGAGGATTGCCACCTGCCTAAAAAATCAATATTAGCTTGGATTAAGGTAATTCTTTATTTGAAATTTATGTGGCAATATATGTGGCTGTGGCTTGAAAATATTTTGAAAATGTTTGCCAGCTATTTTAAAAATCGAATTTAAATCAATTATTGCCAAGCGATATGAAAAATTCAAACAGTGGTGTCAAACGAAAAAATTATAAGAAACATTTAGTTTAAACATTTATGGCCTTATTTATAAAAAAAACTAGCAGACCCGGCGAACTTCGTCCCGCCCAAAATGTTTATATATTTTATTGAAACTTTTTGGTCCAACATTTTCACCAACAACTCACGTTTACGATTTTCATTGGCACATTCGTCTTCTAAGATTATGGTTTGGTGGTCATTTGCCGCTTTAAATAACCTAAGGAAAGTGTTATATCCGTGAAGAAGTTCTTGAAATTCTACAGTTGTTCGGCATTTCATAGCACGGTTATTCGCAAAGCCAAATAGATTTTTTCCTCTTCACTCCCAGGCGGCAACAATGACCCGGTTCTATAGTGAATGTCCTAGAAGCTTTACAGTATAGTTGGTGGCAATTTCAAAATCCGTGCGAATCATTGTTCTACTGAAATGCAATATACATATTCTTATTTCAGACGAAATACCTTAAAAGTTGGAACGCATAATAATATTGGAAAATCACATCCATTGGGCCAATTGCAACGCAGGAGCGTTCGATATACTCAATGGTGCAACAGGTCGATTTAATCTGACCTTCACGGCCCCTTTTCTCACTTGGCTATTTTTAGTAATAGCTCGACTTCAGCACCACTTGGCAGCACGTTTTTGCAATAGTATTGCATACATATTTAAAACATTAGCCAAATCGGATCATAAATAAGATTTTTAGTAATAACTCAACTACAGCGCCAACTGTCGGATTAAATTGTGAAACTAAACCATCCAGAGACCCACTCACACACACAAAAAGTTTCGTTAAATCCGTACAACCATTTAAGAGGATTTCACTCACAAACACGCCTACAAAGAATTAAAAAATACATTGAAAGATAGCTAAAGGTCGGTACGTTTGTAGGCCTCACACCCCTTTTCAAATAGCCCAAATTTTCTCCATGAGTATGGGCTTGATTTCAACTATATACATATCTCCATACGAAGTTCCAGTACTGTACCATGAATACTTTCAGAGATATGCAGTATAAAAATTCGATTTATATGGGAGGTGCCACGCCCCCCTTTCCAACAGCTGCCCTCTTTCTTCATGAGTATGCGATTGATTTCGTATATCTCCATACCAAGTTCCAGAACTCTACCATGAACACTTCCAAAGATAGGCAGTATGAAAAATTCGGTTTGTATGGAAGATGCCACGCCCCCTTTTCCAATAGTTCCAATTTTTCTCCAAGAGTATGCGATTTATTTCGTACATCTCCATACAAAACTCTAGAACTCTACCAAAAAATTTCCAGAGATAAGCAGTATGAAAAATTCGGTTTGTATGGGAGATGTCACACCCCTTTTTACAATAGCTAAAATTTTTCTCCAAGGGTATGCGATTGATTTCGTATATCTCCATACCAATTTCCAAAACTCTACCATGCACACTTTCAGAGATATGTAGCATGAGAAATTCGGTTTGTATGGGAAGTGCCACGCCCCCTTTACACATATATTTTTTTTTAGTCAAAAACCATCCTTGGGTCACGTGCGGCAGGTGGCAGTTTCAAAAAAAACGGTTCAGCCGATCTCCTCAGCCTTGCGAAAACTAAAAAACGGCTTTCCAAATATAAATTAGTTGAGATATATTATATATTATAATTATATTTTGACAGTATCCGTTGTTTCTGATTGGCGCAAAAAAATCTTGCCTAGTGACGAATTCGCCCCTTGATATGGTCGTTACTTAAAGCTATTTATATTCGAAATTGCATGAAAATTGGAAAACAGGAATCTATAAGCTTATCCAGGCAAAAAGCTACCTACGTACCGAATTTTGAGCAAATCGGACCATAAATACGATTTTTTTAGCTTAAAACATGGTGGTTACCGAAAGCTATTTATATTCAAAATTTCATGAAAATCGGACGAGCCGTTCGCGAGATTACCTGTTACAAAAAAAGGACTTATCTTTATATAATTAGTATAGATATAGATATAGATAACTAAGTTTAAAGAGCTTTATAAATTGGCGTTGTCATCTATTTTCAACTTATAAACCTTTTATAAAGCTACTTTATTTTTTATGAATAAGGCCATTAGAATATTATTCCGGCGTATAAAAAGGGTTGCCGCCTGTGTGAAATGATATATTACAATATGGGTATCAATCTAAATGGGCTTGAAAGGACTTTATTTCTAAACTACGTGTTGAATGGTTTCCACCTATTTGAAAAATCAAATTCTATTTAAATTAAGGGGCCTAAGTAGTTGGATTATGTATCACAATATGGATGTCAGACAAAGGAGTTTAATAAGGTTGTAGTTTGAAATATTTTGAAGAGGGTTGCCACCTACTTGAAAAGCCGAATTCAATTAAATTATACAAAATGCAAGAGTGTTTAGAAATCTCAATCCAAACGTGTATATTTTTTGAGTTGATTGAAGAAGGTTGTCACCTGTTTTAAAATTAAATTCAATTAAAATTATATATCAAGTAAAATAATATATTACAATATGGGTATCAATCAAAATGGTGTCGAGGAAGCATATTTTCCAAACTACATGTATCAGGGTTGCCACGTGTTTAAAAACTGAAATTAAGCCAGAATTAAGGGAATAAGGTAAAATTATGTATACGAATGTTCTTTTTTTGATGCTCCAATGTATGTAAGAAATTTCTGTTTCATAGACTTTAATAAATAAATAAATAGATTTTAAATAAAAAAATAAAAAAATATATCACAAGAAGGGGTTTAAGACAGATTTAGTTCGAAGACATGTTGAAGAGGGTTACAAAAAATTTTAAGATCTTTATGTAAAACGCACAAATTCTATGCACTCGGTATAAGCGTTATTCTTATCGTTACTGAACATTTTGTAACCGAAAGGTTTAAAAAATATGATTATCAAAAACGGAAACGAGAACTTTACTTACCAGTTACAAAACTTTTATTACCAGCACAAAATAAGTAGGCCTGTATAACATGGGTTTTTAGCAGAATTTTGAAATTTTGAAAAAGACGGATTTTATATCTTCAGTCTTTCATTTATTTCTCGATTGAGAAAACTTAAAATAAAATAAAAATAAACTTAATTGCAAATTTTAGGATGCTCTTAATTAGACTGCTATCAAATTTTAATTATTTTGTCTTACTTTTGTTTTGTGAAGTTAGATTTGTGGTTATATAAACGAAGCCATAGAATGTGAAATTGCAGTAAAGACAAAACTGTATCGTGGGAATGCTTTATTATTGCCATTAGCAATATCTTTGCCTAACGGAAAACACTATATAGTTTTTATGAGAGCTTTGGTTTAGGTCAAAGAATATGAAAGTTTTTGAGATACAAAAGAATAAATTGATAGCAAATATTAGCGCATATATTTTGCCGTCTGCAGTGTCTGGCTTTAGACATCGAAACTCACTGCACATGAAGCAGTATACTTTAGCAGCTCTTCTGGATATAGAATTAATTAAATTCTAGAGGGACCGCAAGGTGTATAAATAAAGATGGCTTCCCTATCAAAAACTTGACATCTTCTTGATTTCTTTCTGAATGGGAGCCGTACCTGTATATTTAAGCCTGGTCCGTGGATTTAATTTGTTTCAGAATATTTTCTATGTCCAAAGATCTTCGTTCCACACAGACCCGATCCTCAGAGCCTCACCACACAACTTCCTTTGGGTATCATATTGAGAAGAATATCAAGTGCTTCTGAAGAGCATGATTTTGGTGCTCAAGTTATATGCGAACATGCTACTATTTGTTTAAGCCTGGCCACCATATTAGAGCGCGGCGTACATCCACATTACTAGTTTCGGTTTCAAATTCCATTGGTATAGCTTCTCTGCACATTTGGATAGAATTCTTAACTGGGGCATCACATTCTTAGTTATTTGAAAATAATGATAATTCCTCTTTGCATGCTCGGATGAATGTAAGAAAACCATTTTCACTTTTGGGGGAAAATAAGGTCATGGAACGAGACATGTGCGGTGGCACGTAAGGTTTGGTCTGACTATAGCAGAACAAGCGCAGTAACAAACTGCAGTTAATCCGGATTAAGTCCGAGTTAATCCGGATTAACGCTGCCGTCTGTTTGAGCTTTTAGAGTGGTCCAAGTTCTACGCGAAGAAAACATGATAATAAAATCAATTTGCAGCCAATATGCAAAGCTGAAATTAAGTTTAAAACTAAACATAGGAGAAAATTTAAAAATATTTTTATTGTTTTCAATGCACACCCAATGAAAAACCTCTAACGACGACTCGGCACCAATTATTTTTTTTAATTGTTGACCTTTGTAATAAATAAAGTAATGTATTTTGTATACATAAACCGTTATGGATTCAAATACAATAACTAATTAACTAATTTTAACGATGAAATTTTAATTATTTTGATGAAAAACCAATTTTCACAATACATATCTGAAAATCCTCCGATTGTTCGCAATCTATTGGCCAATGATTTCGGCGGTTTAACGCCATTCTGATTCAACCAACTTTAAGCATAAAAGTCCATTCTCCACACTATTAATTTTTGTGACTAGGAGAATAAAATTATGATAAGTGGGTTATTTTCGGAAGTCAACAAATAATTTGACTCGCACTTCACTAAAAAATACAAATCCTCTTAATTTCTGCCATAAATGCCATTGCAATAAATATCGTTGTAATTATTAGCGTCAATCAACGTCAGCAACAAAGGTAGAGCACCGAGTATAAAAAGCCACAACTGCACCACTTGCCACACAAAATTCAACGGTATTCGTAAACGTACATAAGGCATGTGTCAAAAACACAAGTACTCATCCACTGTAGTGTACATTGAATTAGAAAATATGTAAGTGCGGAATATTACAAAATGCGGTTTCGCATAAATCGGAGTTGAAATTCACGGCAATGTCCGTCAAAGCTTCACATAATCATTTAGCATGAAACTTCAGAGTAACACCTACGTACAGTGGATGCTGAACGTCAAACACTTCGAACCAGAATTTTAAAGTGTTTAAAATTTTTCTTTAGGTTATATGGAACTTATTAACAAAACTGTCTAACAATTTTAAGTCAATAAGAATGCAAATGTTATGATATGTACGCATAGTTTCATTGAATTCAATGACAAAATTTGGAATGTGCTTAAATTTGTTTCTAATCTTATTACTCATATTTGTTATGATTCTTTTATTGTATACACATATGTATATGATTTATTTTTTTAGTTTATTAATTTATGTTCACATGTATTATATACAAACAGGGGTTGTAGACGCATTTTTCACTGTCACTCATGAAAGCATAATTGTTTTTTTTTTTAATAACTTTGGGAAGTTTTCAAATAGAATGTTAATATTAGAGGCAACGGAAGTTGGCATCAAATACAGCATATCTATGAAGTTTCAAGAGTGTGCCACCAAATATCTGTCGCAGCTAATTTGTAATTTTTGAAATTTTATGATTTTTTAATTGTAATAATATAAGGTACTTCAAAATATTCAACAATTTTTTATTGAGCTTGAGGCCGTTTTTGATGACAAACTATTGTGGAAAAGCAACAACAATTTTGAAAATATGGTAGAATTGATAGCTATGTCGGAAATTACCACATTTCCTTATCACACTTCTTTCAGTGGCATTCGCTGCAACGACCCTAGCTGACTCAGCCAGTTGCCTATACACCGTGCTAAGTTCGCCTTGTGAATTCTTGTTGCTTTTTCCACTTTTTCATTTGTGAAGCCAACTACAATCAAGCGCAGCTATTCCAGTGCTAATTAAACTAGATCATGTGGTTGCTGGTTTTGTTGGTTTTTGTTAATAATTCCATTTTTAGAATGTTTAACTCAGTTATGCATAGAGAGAGCTTTTACTCTCTGCGCGTCCATATAAAATCTACAGTGAGCTTTAAAGAGATCCCCCCCCCGCGCGAGCGCTGTTTTGAGCGTCATTGAATAACATTTAATCGCTTCATTGGAGTACTCCGTTTGAACTTCTAAATCGCCAATACATGATTAGAGTAGCCATTCAGTAAAAACATGTCCGCATATTACGGATCAACTTATGAGTTTAACCTGTCGCCATAAAGGCGATCCTTTAGCTGAACTTTCAACGATGGTAGTCCTACTGCCATGTCTAATGACAGATAACACTTGATGGTAGTCTTTACTAAACAGAACGAGTTTGCCTCCAAAACAAAAGGGAAACTATTATTAATTATGCCTCCAAAAATCGATCTAGTACTACGCTTAGTGCTTCTTTGGGAACCATTGAAATCTCATCCCAAATAGTGAGGTCCGAGACTCAGATGAGTTACGCCTATTACGATCTATTATTTTAGATAGTTGGCAACTCTCTTCAAAATTATTAATTCCGATTATGTGTGTATTTAAATGCCTTTCATTCACTGAACGCAATGCAAACTTTTAGTCAATATATATTTAGTCACTCAAGTTTTAAGCGGGTGGCAACACTAATAAAAAAGTTTTACATCTAGCAGTGAAGCTTTTCTTCAAAATGGTGTTTCAAACATTAAATTTGATGGAGTATTATGGCAGATATTGCGCTTTATTGATCGGATGCAATGCTTTCAGCTTTTTAAATCCCCCATTTTTTTAATAAATAACTAAATTTTAACAACGTGATTATTTTTAGCTTGTACACGAGCTTCCCCCCTTCAAACTGAGATATCATTCACTAAATTTTTTCAAATATTAAAGGAGATATCGTTTGGTAACAGAAAAATACCTTTTATAAATAAGTTCCTTTATGGTTGTTGTTGTTTCCGACAGGGGACAGGGATGTTTTTTGGAGCGAATTTCCGTTCAAATTTGTTTTGGGGACAAATAAGTATATAGATGACTTAAGTTCAGGTAGTAAACGTGTAAGGTTACCGCATATGGTGCTACGGGGCGTATACTTTACACACGCGACTTACGACAATCATAAGTGGTTATTTTTACCTTTTTTAGTACATCATTTTAAAGTTTTCATTTACATACAACTTCGCGATGGAATCTTATTCTTTATACTGAAGATAGTGCATTTTCTAAGATAGGTGTACCATCATTTTCGACCAACAACACGTTTTTGTGGTGCGCAGGAGGGGATTTTCTCAGACCTGTTCCTACATTTTTTTTGCATCTCTACATTAAAGTTGGAGGATGGTTCCGTGCGCAGAAGTGGAAAACTTTTGACTGCCATTCACCTGGGAGTGGCCAGAACCGATTCTTGTGCGTACGGTTCAAATCGCAGCTCACAACGTCCGGATATTTATATCCACGTATCCTCTGGGTAGCAACCAAACACCCGTTTGGGAGCGAGCTAAAGTGAGAAGGCGTAAAACTTCGCGTGCGCTGGGTTTGGGTCCCGCCACGTT